AATATATGTAGAATTTCTTTGCTATTTATAATATATATGTATATACATACCTGTTTACATTGAAGAGCAAAACCAAAACAAAACAAAACAATAGAATCCTCACTCTGGGAGTGAGGCTGACTGGCACAGCAGCTTCTCTCATTCCTAGAGGGAGGATATAATGTGATAAAACAGATTGTCCTACGAGACTGGTGAGTGTTCTTGCTATGTTGGTTGGTTGATACCAAATATAGGCTCCTCTCAGCTTCCCACTGCTTGGCCACATGAACTGACGGGAAGGGAGATGTGCAGATCAGAGACTTGAAATCAGAGCTGACTGAAGGACTGAGCAGGCTGTCATAAGACAGGCTTCCATTGTGTGTCTGGCTGGCCAGGCTTTCACAGAGTGGGAGGTGGCACCCTCTGAATGAATAGGTTGGAACAGTCCCAGCTCAAACCATGTGCCCTGGGCTGACTTGAGGCTTGAGGATAGTGTACCAAAATGAAAGATACTGATAGCCAATTCTTTAACTTTCTTTTTTTTTTTATACCAAATCTTTGAAATTTGGTGTTTTCTTTTTCTCTTGCCTTAGTCACATCTCAATTTGAACCATTGCTCAGCTGCCATGTGTAACTGAGACAGCATGGGTCAGAATGAATGGAACTAGAAGAATTCTTAAATTGTGTTACTCCGATATGAAATATTATGCAAACCTTCAAAGTACTTTTCAGTTTGAATAAAGTGGTTCAACTTTAAATATTCAAACTATTGAAGTTTCAGTAAAATCTACATTGAAAGCCATTAAGGCTGTGTGCTGAAAGCTGTCATTCTCCCTAGTCTGAGCAGACTTCTGTCATGGTGCCATCCTCAGATGTGGGTGGTGCAGAAGTCCAAAGGAATTATAGAGTCTCTGAGAAAAAGCTCTTGGGGCTTTCTCTTCTGACTTGGTCTCAACATGTCTCCATGCTCCTTTCTGCATAAAAGAAACAACTGAGGAACCTCTAGAATGCACCAGTATATTTTGTTAACACCAACTAAAAAGACATGTAAATAAATGGGACAAAAGTAAATTCTCTACACAAGAAAATCCATCTCCCTGTCTCTGCTAAAACACCTAAGAATAACTTAGTGATAATCAAGGAACCAATATAAATAATAATTTTTTAATCTAGTGAAATTAAAAGAAAAGCAAACTGTATTATGAATGGCCTAGGTTTAAGTTCTAATTTTTGAGAAGAGTATTATTTATTGCCATTACAAGTATTCTGTAATGGTAATTTTGGAATGTGACTAAATTAAACCATGCCTTTCATGTGGAAGAATTAATAAGAATAATGTCAGGAAGGAGTAGAGAATGGGAAAATTAAAATGCTACCAGCTATTAGGAAACTACAAAAGCCCAAGATATGAGATAGTAGGAGGTATGTGATTAGTGGAAATGACAGATGAAACACCTTGGAGAGCTTACCATATCAGCCAAGTCAGAAAAACCTGTCTACTTTTGTCTTCCCCCATTCTCACATTCAGCCAATATATACCGAGCACTTACGAATTGCCAGGCATTGTAGATACAGCACTGAATGAAAAAGGACAAAATGCCTCCCCTCCTGGGGTTTACTTTCTATTTATCTGTGATATTTATCTCAGAAACTGTATATAAAACACACAGCACAGTGAGTGACAGAGTAAGCCATCAAGAATCAGGCTGACTTTGCAACATGGTCCTCTCATTCCAAAAGAGTATGAGAACACCCTTAATGATGATCCACAGCATCTCTGTGAGTGATGTTCTGGGGTACAGGTAACCTGTTGGTTGGCTATGAGACTCTGGCAGGTGGGTGCAGGCTGCCTATGGGTGTGGAGGTGGCTATGGGTTGCTGCAGGCTGAGGCGGTGAGGATGATTTGGAAGCAGGGAATATTGTGGCAAGTAGCCAATATAGCCCTGGACTGAATCACACCACTGACCACAGTCCTGCATCTATACGGCAATAGCAGAGGGCCATTCTCTTTCTCCTGTCTTCTTGAATTTTTGTTTTACTCACTCCCCACCTTCTTTTCCCACACTTTCTCTCCTTTTTCCTTTTCCCCCTCCCAATTGAGGCCTAACATGGGCTTTGCTGTCACACAATGCACCTGCTTCTTTCTTGGGCTCCTCAGGAAGGTTTGTCCACTCTGCACCAAGATGGGGAAGGAAACCAGCCCTTACTAGTACCTATGTACATTCATTGCTCTGAAGGTTTTCTGTAGACCATTTCTATGAGTTCTTCCACCCAGCCCCCAGTTAGGCACTACTGACCACTACTTGATCACTATTGGACCTTGGAAAAGTCTCAAGGTTCACTAGACACCAGGCAGTGTTCTCAGCATGGAATCCTTCTAGGCACATAACTTATTTTACACAAGTGTAATCCTGTGAGATAGGGAAGATAATTAACTTTGTGACTCAAAATTCCTAAGTTCCAGACATAAGAAATCTGAGGCAAGGGGTTCATGCAAACTACAGAGTCAGCTCTCCTAACCCTGATGCTACATTTTGTTCTCAGCCTTGACATCAGGGAACCTGCAAACAAGCTCCCAAGTGGCTGTACAGCAACAGGAGGAGCTGAATCTCGAGGAAGTTTGGCACAGATACTTCCAGAAGCAAGCATCCTACATAGCAGCACTGATCAGGCAAGGAGGAAGTGAGCAGGGAAGCAAGTCTGAAGTCATGGCTGGCAGACCACTGGGCCAGGCAGCACTGCTGCTCTGACACTGTTAGAAACCTATGTCACCAGAAGGTACCTACAGGAGGCAATGAGATTTCACATACTCTGATAATTACAGGTGGAATAGCAGTATTTACAGGTCAGTGCGACCACATCAGAGAAGGAAAATTGAGAGGTATCAGAGGCTGTTAACTACATACACTATGAAGTGTGGCTGTTTGCCCTTGTGAATGTGTGTCTGACAGGGAGTTGCAGCTCACTGCTGCTGTCCAGCACCACGAGGAATTGTTGTCTAGCACATTTATATAGCCAAGGAAAGGGTCAAATTTCAAAATTCAAAGTATGATTTCTACTGACTACATACCTGAAATTGTAAGTTAAGACATTGTAAGTTGGGGACTGTCTGTACAGTTAAAGTTTGGGGAAGCACTTGGATTTTTAGCATAGCAAAGAACATCACAGTAGGTTAAGCCCCCAACCCATGTTTCTATATCCCAATATCCCTCCAACATGCACTTTTAAATTTCTCTGCCAAGAGTGTTTGCCCTGCAATCAGGTCTCTGCTCAAATGCCCGTGTGGGCCAGATTGCTGTTACTTAGATACAGCTTCTCTATCCAGAAATGCATTCCTTGACACTTGATCACAATTGCCCCCTTTTCTACCCACCTCACCTGTGGCCCCTTCCCACAGCCTCAGCCCTACTACAGCCTGAAATCACACTGTTTACCTGCCAGCCAGGGCAGGGGCTTGTGTTTTTAGCTCTATCCTCGACCTTTGGAAAAGTACTTGTCAAAGCTGGGTATGTAATTCAGTGTCGTAGTACTTGCCTGGTATGTGCAAAAAAAAAAAAAAAAAGGCAAAAGTTAAAATCCCAAAGTATCTGTCACCAGGCAGGCACTTAGTAAGTTCTTGTTAAAGAAATGGACAATGTGAGAACCACCATACTTGCAGGCCTTTGGAATGGCTGTGCCTCTCTGAGCTGGTACACAGAAGACAGGGTGGGTGCACAATGATTGCCATGGCTGTGTCTCAAAAAAGCCCCTCTCCACTGTGTAGGAATCCTGGGAGAAAGCTACTGAGCATTATCACAACCTGGGTCAGGAGCCAGCAGATTCGAGCCTGCTATAAGACGATCCCTGAAAGAAGGAGAGCTCCTCGCCTGGGCAGAAGACTAACAGAGGGCCTCTCTTCTAATGTGCCTTCCTGATTATCCTTGATTTGGGACATAGGGGTTGCATGCGTGCGGACAGAATGCCTAAGATGGGTCTTCAGTGGGGACAAGAAATAGATGGCAAAAAGCAGGCTAAGAGAACAGATTGGAGGCTCATACTCTAGCTTGTTGGGAGTAGACTGTGCAGGCTTCCTGTTGCTCTATAAACCAGAGGCTGTCGTTCTCTGGCTCTCCCTGGCTCTGTGGGTCCATTTGATCTAGATACTTTGGTCCCTGCATGGTATCTTGGTCACTCTAATTTCCCCTGTCTCCTTTGTATTTCACCCATGTGGTGCTGGGGACCTGAGCCCACAAAACTCTAACCTCATTGTGAACTTGCCTCTTAGTCCTCTTGGTCAAACACAGCCCACAGCTCAGTCACTATAGTTATCCACCTTTCCTAGGTAGCCTTACTCTGTGTCCCTGCAGCAGAGACAAGCTCAGCCCAGATATCTCCTATCCAAAGTTACCTTCTCTGACCTGCTTAGATAGCCATTCTTGTCCTGACTACCCTGTCATAGGGACTTCCTAAATGTTCGTGACCCTGCTGTCTGTGTGAGTGTGTCCTGGGCCCTCTGCATGCCCAGTTTGAGGACAGCAGAACCTGACACCCACACTTGTTCCACAATGGTCAGTTGACTGCCTGGGTGGGCTGTGTCGAGTGCTGTGTGTGTGCCTCCTTTCAGCCTCCCAGCAGCCCCTATTCTACTCAGACCTCCAGTACACAGATGATGACTGGAAGTTGAAGAAGTCAGCTAAGGCCTTATTTCATGCTACCCAGAAGCAAAAGACAGAAAAGAAAAACAGCATGAGTGGCCAGAAGAGTGACCTGTGTTCAGGGAGTGCCTGCTGGGGAGGGCTAGTTGAGCCTCTGATATCCTTCTATACTTGGCATCTGGCTTTAGAGCCACCCAATAACGTGTGGACTGAATGAACATTTGAAACAGGGAGGCTTTGGGCTGAGGAAGGGGAGTGAGGCAGAAGAGTGGAAAGCAGTTCCAGTGGAAGATTCTTTTATGTTCCCTGCAAACCATATGTGCTTGACAGGAAGTCTGTAGCCCTGGCTGCCCTCTCTGACCAATCTCCAGGCCTTGCTCTGCCCCTCAGTCGAGCTGCACCAGCCTCACTGGCAAGGGTAAGGGTAGTGGGGGTGTCCATTGCATGTCAGCCCGCTGCACAGTCTGCAGGAACTTCTGTATCTCGGCCTGTACCTGACACAGCTTGCCTTTGTTGACAGGCCCCCAGGACAGGCCATGTAGGTACACACAGCACTCGACTGGGATGGGATAGAGCACCTGTTTTAACTCCATCAGCCCTGCTGTGTGCTCCAGTAGGCTCAGGAGGCCAGCCTTGGAGACAGGATTGTCAGACAGACCCAGGGAGCTGAGCTGGGAGCAGCAGCATAGGGCTGGCAGGATGGCTTTGAGGTGGGCGTCCTTCAGTTGGCAGTGGTTCAGGGTCAGGTGCTGCAGTGTCCCTGAGACCTTGCCCAGCAGGGTCTCTAAGGGTCCAGGGACCATGTAGGATAGGTTGTTGCCACTCAGATCTAGCTTCTTCAGGCAGGTGGTGTGAAGACTGTGAGACAAGTAGATGATGTCGGTGTCCAGAAGTGTGCAAAAGCGGATCTCCAGGGCATGCAGTGGGGCCTGCAGGCAGCTGAAAAAGGAAGGTGCACTGACTCAGGGGAGGTCACTGGCCCTCTGCCTTGGACACCTTGCTTGCCACCAAGGGGCACTAAGATCACTTCCTCATCTGAGAAGAGGTTTAGAATTCTATGTCTTTTCATGTTTCAAGGTCTGGTTCTTTCTCAACATACCCACCAGGCCCTCTAGCAACCTCTCTGCTATGGTTTGGATCTTAAATCCAAAGACTTCACCAAGTCTGTAGTGCTACTGGGAAGTGGTGGAACTATTCAGAGGTGGGGCTTAATAGAAGAAAGTTAGGTTACTGAGGGTATGCCCTTAAAGGAGATATTGGACCTTGCCTCATTCCTTACTCTTTCTTTGCTTCCTGTCCATGGTAAGGTAGGTAGCTCTGCTCTGCCATGTGCTCCCTTGCCATAGGTTATGGACTGAAACTGGGAGTCAGAATAAACCTTTTTTCCTTCAAGTTGATTATCTCAGGAATTTTGTTCCAGTGATGGAAAGTTGACTAATATACTCTCCAAGGCTAAGTTTCTCTTTGGTGAGATGCAGACCTACATTATATGCACCCAATGTAACTGTAGAGAACAGTCATTTGAAAAGGCTTGCTTGTTGATAAGGAATTCATAGGATGAACCTGATATACTCAGGCTTGGTTCTGGGAAAACTTCTACTCAGGCTTGCATTTGACCAGCCTGAGTATACTGAATGTCCCACCAGGAAGTTTCTAGCAAACATTTATAGAGTAAGATACTTTCTTCACATTATTGCCTTGCGGGGTCCTCTACTTGTTATGTGGGCAGCAGTAGGTCCAACAGGGAGTCTTGATTCTTTCCTTAGGGCCCAGCATGGGGTACCCTGCCCAAGGAGATTTGTGGAGTAGATAAACATATTGCTAAATGAGATTCTTAGGCAGTCATTGTTTTGGACTAAGCACCTGCCCTAGGCCCCAGTAGAGCAGACCAAACCAGAATGGAGTCACTGGTGCTAAGTGCCATGTAACTGAGCTGAATTTTGAGAGGTTAGTTTCCCAGAAAACAACAGATTCACGGCATTTAATCAGAAAGGACCCAATTTTCCTGAGCGTGCATGATAAGGAAGCCCCCTCTTAAGCCATGTAAGGAAAAGAACTTTGAAAACACCAATCATAAGCAGACATGGTGCTTCATATCTATAATCCCAGCACTTGGAGAGGCTGGGGCAGGAAGATCAAGAGTTTGATGCCAGCCTGGGCTATAGAGTGAAACCCTGTCTCACAAAAAAACAACACCCCCCCAAAAAAAGAAAGGACAATCCTTTTTGTTTCTTTTTTCTCCTTTCAGCAGCCCTTTGGCATGCCTATAAAGTTATCCTCTGCTCAGTTCATTGGAGCTCTCATTCCATTTTATAGAGTGCTCTTTAATCAATTCATGAATTGATTATATCTTTAAACTAATTTTTTTGGTTATTTTTAAAAACAATATGCATCTTTTCCTAACAAATTTGTCTTCCAGAAAAGATCCCAATCACCATCTGTCTCCCAATCATAGTTCCTAGGCTGCATCCAGGAGTCCATAGGAATGGATCCCTCTTCCTGTCTTGCTCCCTGTCTTGGTTTGACTTGGGGGTGTTCTGGGGACCGTCTGGAGCATGCTGCCCACCTGTTTACCTGAGTACTTGCTGTAAGTTGCCTGAGAGGTAGGAGTAGGACAGGTGGAGCTTCTGGAGGTGTGTCAGCTTGCTGAGCTGGGAGAGGTAGTAGCTGGAGGACTGCTCGCCATCTGGGGAGAAGGACCAGTGGTAGTAGGCCAGCTTGAGACTGTGCAGGTTGCAAATCCTCCCCAGCTGTGTGGCAAAGAGTCTCTGCTCTGATAGTGCCCGGAACCAGTCAAACACCTCGAGCTCCTGGATGAAGTCCAGCTCCAGCGTTTTCAGGACCCCTAGCAGACTGTTAAAGGGCATTTCTTCAATATGTAGTTTCCTACAGCAGAGTCGCAGGGACCCGCTGCTCTCTTCCACTTTTGTCAGGAGGCTCAAAAGGAAAGTGTTTAACCTGAAGGGACCTCGTAGGAAAAGATTCATGTGTAGTTCCACTGGTTCCCATGGCTGCTTTGGTCCTTTTCTTGTGTCTTCTAGATTGTGCCTGGCCATGGCCTGAGGCATCTGCACCTTGACTGTTGATGGTAACCAAAATGGAAACTTGGCCAAGGCCTCAGAAACCCCTTTAATCTGGATCTGCTCAAAGTCCAGGGTCAAATCCAACACCCTCAGTTCTGACCTCCTGTGGGGAGAGAGGGATGTGATGAGAGGTTGCCATCTGGAGAAGCCCATCTTGGGCCAGGTGAGATGAGCAGTAGCCGCCTTGGGCTCCCAGAATCCCAGCATCAGACCCCAGTATGTGCCCATGCCTTCTCCCTTCTCACATGGACTTTTCCTTCCTTACTTGGGTTCCTTCTCAGTTCCTATTCCTCCCAAACCTGTTCCACGATCCCCAGAAGATGAAAGACCTACTCCATAATGCCCTTCAGCTGCAACATCAGCTATTTAACTCAGAAACCCACAGATCACCCATTTGCACCCCTAGCTGATTTTAATACCCCCCTCACAACTCTGTGCTCCTTACCTGGCACAGGTCCTGTGGATGGGGGAGGTCTCTAGTCCATCTAGCACAGCCTGCACGCTGTCTTGGTTGGGCCACTGCACTATCAGAGAGCCCAGTCGGAGAAAAGGGAAGGGCCAGGCCTGCACCAGGGCCTTCAGAGCTTTCTTGTGCCCCTTGGAAAAGGCAGCAGTGAGAATTGATGGGAAGAGGTCGACTGTGAGCTCGTCCAAGGCAGGTATAGCTGAAACCTCATTGCTGAGCAGACTGTGGGCTGCAAGTTCCAAAAGTTTGGGTAGGGCTGGGTTGCTCATCTTCACAAACCTGGTGCAGGATAAGGTAGAACTCCTCAGCATCCCTCCCAGGCTAGAACAAAGACACAGCCTTTCACATCCATTACAGGACCAAAGACTGGCTCCACCTCCATTCATGACCCAAACCCCACAATTTGGATCTTGAAAACCTAAGACTCTAGAACCCTTCAAGGCTGACATCTGTGGGATGGAGCCCAGACTCTCAGGAGTTTAGATTCTTTGCTAGACTTCAGAGGCTTTGAACTGGGCCAAATTTTCCTTCTTTGCCTCACTGTCAAGAGCACCATGAGCATTCACTAAGCACATTGTCTCTAACTGCATATTAACTTTCCAAAATGTGTCTAGATTCCAACCACTTCTCATCACTTCCGCTTTTACCAACAACTCAATATTTCTTGTTTCTATCATAGCCTTGAAACTTGTCTCCCTGCTCCTGGCCTTGTGCTGTCTGCAGTCTAAGTCACATTATGTCATTCTTCTGCTGAAAACTCTCCCAGGCTTCACTTTTGCTCTGAATACAGGCTACCCTGGGGTAGTCCTCCCGGAGTCTAGATAGCCTCCTGTCACTCTCCCCAGTCTACAACTACTCAGCAATATCAATTCTCAGGGCCTTTGTATTTACTATTCCTTTTGTTTAGAAAAGTCTCCTCCCAGATACCCTCATGGCTGGTTCCCTCACTTCACTCAAGTCACTTTGTCCCTGACCACCTATGTAGGGTAGAGCTTTCATCCCTAAAAAATGTCTCTATCTATCCTAACCTGATCTATAGCACTTATATTACTACTTTTGGCCTGTTTCTACCTCAAACACACGCACACATACACATACACATGCATCAATATACAGTTGCTAATTGTATTCTCTCTGCTAACTTGCAAGTGTCATGAAAAAAAAGCTGTGTCTGCTTTAATCACTGCTAGTCTGAATGACAAACATACTGTGTGATGTATGCTAGGCAAACAAGGCATATTATAAGTACATTTAAGAACAAGTTGAAATGCACAGTTAAGCTTATCACACCCCATGGAATGTGCTGAGTGTGACAGGAAATGGAGGTCTTTCTGAACTCTTATAAAACATCAGTTCTGGGTCAGTTATGAATTCTTCCATCTGCCCAAGATCCTCCTTTCCCCACTCTTATTGGGAAGTGTAGCCTCATTCCATCACTCTCTGTAGTCCATGCAGTTTACAGAGCAGGACTTTGTGCAATGATAGGGATGTTTTAGATCTGTCCAATGTGGAAGCCACAACCCACTTGTGGCTACTGAGCATTTGAAATATGGCTAGTGTGACTGAGGACCTAACTTTGCATTTTATTTAATTTCAGTTACTTTAAATAACTGCAAGTAGCTAGATGCTATACTTATGGACAGCTGAGGTCTAGAATCTATAGAAGTCCAAGATAAGAATCATTTACTCACACTTCACAAGCTATGCAATCCATTTCTAAGGGGATATTATAGCTTTGGCAACAATATTGGGCAAGGGTAATGATTAACCAATCTCATTTTTGAAGCTGTATGCATAATACCTAAATAGTGAAATAGTAGCAAATAAAATCTATAAAAAATATCACAAAAAGAAAAAGATAAAGGAAAAAGGTAATCGAGTACATCTAATATCAGAAATGCAAGAATGGTTAATGTTAGGATTATTATTAATGTAATTAGTCAATGGATTCAGGAAAATCAAAGGAAGAATGGAAGGGAAGTTCTTGAACCTGACACATAGTAGTGATTTGTAACATTGCCTTTAAAGTCAGAACAAGAAAGCAATGGTGTGAACACCATGAGAATGAGCCCGGTACTTCCAACTTAGGAAGTATGGTTGCTGTTAGGAATCCATGGCAGCCTTGGAGCCCAGGCCACACCTCCTGTGTGCTGTCCTCATCAATAACTGGCTGTGACAGATCTGTCCTGGGAGATGTCATTTCACTAACAATCCCTTTGGCTTGAGGACTCTAAGGGCCTTGCTGGACCTTCCAGGGTATCCATGTCCATCAACCTTCCCTTGAGCTCTGCTTTACCTGGCGGTATGTAGGGCTGCCAACTCTCCATGTCTTCCCCAATTCCTCCCCATTTCCCCTCATAATGGGTGATTCCCCTTTGCAAGTGACATCCTTGTATCCATCTTGGTGCCTGCTTCTAGCAGGCTCTTAATGGTGTTAGGACATGCTACCCAAAAATGTAGCAACATGGCATATTGAATATTTTAAGATGAAGGAAATTAAAAAATGGCCTGTGCAGGAAAGGATTTTCTGACCTTACCTTGTAGCAGATTATAAGACTCTCATGCAAGAAGTAATTTCTCTATACTTGGAGGAATTGGCACAATAAATTCCCCCTATACAATGAATATATGCTAATAAAAGCAAAACAGAAAATGTGATGCATACATACAAATGAAATATTATTCAACAATAAAGAATGAATTTTTATCATTTGCAGATAAATGGCTGGAACTGGAGAACATCATGTCAAGTGAATAAGCCAGGTTCAGAAAGACAAAGGTTGCATGTTGTCTCTCATATGTTGAACAAAGATCCAATACAAATGCAAGCATTACCATATATACACATATATACAAGACATGTTTCCAAAAGTGGGACTATTAGAGGAGACTAAGGGAGGATGGAAAAAAAGAAGAGAATGATAGAGAGTGAATAATAATGAAATACATCACATCTGTGTAGGAATAAGACACGATGAAACACACTGAAAACTGTTGAACAATATGGGGTAGGGGGTAAAGGTTAAAGGTGGGTGTTAACTGATTAAAGAACAATGTATTTACAGGTAAAATACCAAGGAAAAATGTCACTGAAGAATGAACAGACACTTAAACAATGAAGGGCAGAAATGTAAAACAGGTCATATTAAAGAGAGGGTACCTGCAGGCAGGGGAGGGTAAATGAAAAGGGTAAAGGAAAGTGAATATGGTCAATGTATTTTCTACACAAGTGTGAATATGGAATGTTGAAACCATTTTAAGGAGGAGGAGGGGGAAGAGGGAGAACAATGGAGGGGATGAACCAAACTGGGGTATGTTATATGCATACATGGAAATGAAGCTCCCTGTACAACTATTATATGCTAATAAAAACATTGAAAAAAGGAATGAATATTTTATTATTGAATAAATATTAAGCCAGACTGTGATGTACATTGTACTCAGTCCACTAAAGGGATTGCAAAGACAGAAGGAAGTCTTGCCCTTTGAGCTAAGTAGGCATAGACAATGTATGACATACAAGTTAACTGTCTTGGCTCAAAGGAAAAATAAAACTTTTCTCTTTTTGAGTAGCATCAAGTTACAACTTGGAACTAAGTCTTTGGACCAAGTTTTCAGTTTATTCCCATTAGTTCAAACTTTTTTTTTTAATCAACCACATTCAAGTTTTAGGTTTCCTTCCCTTTACCTATTCCAATTTTTCTTCTTCGTGACTGTGTCTTCATTGAACCTAAGCATAAAAATACAGTTCTTCCTGAGTCTTTGGGTCTTCCCTTCTGAAAGTTCCCGTGCCATGTAAACCTTTATTTTTATGTTTACATAAATTTGTTGTTCTTTTCTCTTGTTAATGCCTTTTGTTTTTACTTTTTGACAGTACTGGAGTTTGAACTCAGACTTTTTTTTTTTGGTGGGACTGGAGTTTGAACCCAGGGCTTTAAACTTGGAAAGTAGGTGCTCTACCACTTCAGTCAGACCTCCAGCTTTGAACTTGCTAGGTAAGAGTCTTGCATTTGCTAGGTAAGCACTCTACCACTTGAGCCACACATCCAGCTCTTTTTTGCTTTAGTTTATTTTTCAGATAGGGTCTTATAGTTTTTGCCCAGAGCATGATTCTCCTACCTTTTCCTCCCATGAAGCTGGGATTACAGTCATGAAGCAATATGCCTGACTTATTCTTTGAGATTGGGCCTTATTAACTTTTTTGCCTGTAATGGCCTTGAATTGCACTCAATCCATCTCCTGTGTACCTGGGATTACAGGAAGGAACTACCATGCCTGGTCCTAATCTGTCTTTTGTTATAGGGCCTCAGCCATGATAATTCTCATGATAGGTGAGGAAAGGGTATTATTTTTTCTCCCAGGTGGAAGAAAACCATGTATCCTCTATAATATACCCTTTGGATCAACAGATTTTAGCATTGCTTATTACCTTTGAGCAATTTTGCAACTTTATAAGAATTAATTGAACAATTTTCCCCCATGAGTCAAATTTCTCAGTTGTAATCAACACCTGCAGGTTAAAGTGAAATTTTAACTTTTTAGTGGTTTTGTTTATTTATTTTGTGGACTAGGTTTGAACTCAGGGAATGTGCTTGCTAGCTAGACACTCTACCTCTTTTTAAAATTCATTTATTCACAAGTGAATACACTGTGTGGGGCATTTCTCCCCACTGCCCTCCACTCCCCCTTCCCCCCCACCCCCTTCACATCTAGGCAGAACCTGTTCTTCCCTTATCCCTAATTTTGTTGGAGAAGACATAAGCAATAATAAGAAAGACAAAGCGTTTTTTCTAGTTAAGGACAGCTATACAGAGAGATTCCTAGCATTGCTTCCATGTACAAATGTGTTACAACCCAAGTTGATTCATCTCTACCTGACTTTTTTTACTAGTTCCCAATTACCTTCCCATATTGACCTCTGTCACTTTAAGGTATCTGTATTAGCTCCTCTGCAGTGGGGACATCAAACACTTTCATGTTTTGGGTTTCCTACCTGTCCTCATACCTCCCGTAAGTGCTCTCCCCTTGTCATGTGACCCAAGTCCAACAATGTTGCTGCATTTGCCCTGGATCTGAAGTCCGCGTAGGAGGGAGAACATACGATTTTTGGTCTTCTGAGCCTGGCTGACCTCGCTCAGGGTGATGTTCTCCAGTTCCATCCATTTACTTGCGAATGATAAGATTTCATTCTTTTTCATGGCTGATTAGAATTCCATTGTGTATAAATACCACATTTTCTTAATCTATTTGTCAATAGTGGGGCCTCTTG